CTAAAGGTTGGGCAGCAAAATAAGCATCACTTATTCCTTTTAGCCCAAGGGATGCATAAACAGGACTTCTTGAGAAAGATTTACTTGTATGAAAATTTATTTTGTATGAAGATCAGACTTGGAGAGAAAGAGAGGGCAAAACAGTGAAAGAGAGAGAGAAAAAGAGAGAATCTTCCATCCACTGGCTTCACTGGTTATTAGCAGGGAGCTGGAATGACCAGCTGGAGCATGAACTGACCTCAGTCTGGAATGCCAGCATCCCAAGCAGCAGTTTAATCTGTTCTACCATTCAGGACTTATTAACATGATACCTTCCCTTTCTTAAACATACATGTTAAGCCAATTTCTGTACCTAGTTTATATCCTGGAGCAGGAGCTAGTAATGTCCACTTACAAAAGAGGTCACAGAGACGCGGAAGAGCTAAAGGCACAGGATCACACAGCTGTAACTCCTCACACCAAGAGATAAGTCATCTACTTATGGTGTTGAGGTCCTTGCCTTATCCTGTTCACCATGCTGGTTCTCAAAGAGGTAATCAGAGAATCCACTGCATCACTGTGGCATAACTGAGAATGAGAAGAACTGACAAACCCCAAGGGGTCCAGAAGGTTAACTAAGGATGAAGGCTGAGTGGCATCTGTAGTTGAAGGAAGGGACTGCACACCTGAAGGGATCTCACTCATTGCCTCTGCTTGAAATCCCTCCCTCTCTGGCCCCAAACTCCAGCTACAACTGGGCAAGAAGAGTGATCTTGCTTTTAAGTTCCTTTTCTAAGTCTGTCCCTTCTAAAAAGCCAAGGCACTAATGAGAAACTCCCAGAATAGTCTTCCATTGAGTGATTTTTGCAATGGCTCTATTTCTATTTTCTTGACTATTATTCAACCAGCACCACGTGTAGTTACTTTTCTGATTGCCTTTTGCAATCTTACAAGCTGTGTGAGTCCTGTTAATTCTAGGTTCAAAGAACTCTCTGGCTGAGCCATGTTCCCAGAGCTCAACTTGTTCCTTGGTCTCCCAAAAAGGTGAAAAGCTTTTTGAAGATGGAAAGAATCGTAGTACTGAGTTTTTAAAAATGCAATGCATTAGGAAAAAATGCATGCCATATTTTGCTATTTATGCTGTATTTTTACTTAGAGAAATGTAGTCAATCCCCATAATAACCCTGTAAGGTTGTCTTATTCCCATTTTTAAAATGAGAACCCTGGGGCCCAGAGAGTCCATGTGAGAAGGCTAAGTGGGGACTTGAGCCCAGGCTTGACATTGCAGGTAGGTGCTTTTCTCACTGTCAATCTTATCACCTCTTTTTTGGGGGGGGTGGGCTGGGGTGAGGAATAGGTAATAAAGAGGGAGCTGGATGGGAAGCAGAGCAACTAAAGCATGAACTGGCACCCATATGGGATCCTGGCATTTGCAAGGTGAGGATTTAGTCATTTAGCTATTGAGCCACTGCACTGGGCCCCTACTCTTATAACTTCTGACAGGAGGGAATGGTGGTACACAATGTGAATGATGCCATCTTCTTAAGTCTCCCAACTAGGGAGCGGTACTATGGCACAGCAAGTTAGGCTACCACCTGCAATGCTGGTTGGAGTCCCAGCTGCTTCACTTCCAAATCACCTCTCTACTAATGCATCTGGGAAAGCATAAGAAGGTGTTCCAAGTCCTTGGGACCCCACACCCATGGAGAGAGACCCAAGTGAAACTCCTGGCTCCTGCCTTTGGACTGGTCCAGCCCCAGTTGTTGAGGCCATTTGGGGAGTGAACCTATGGATGGAAGACCTCTCTCTCTCTCTCATTTACTCTTGCCCTGTCTTTCCTTCTCCTGCGTACCACTGCCTATCAAACAAATCAATAAATCTTAAAATATGTATATTAATAAAAACTCCCAACCATGTAACTTTACCTTATTTTGGTCCCTGTCCTCTCATGCACTTGTCAAGTCACCTCAGCTGCTCCATGCCATCCAGCTGCTTCCTTGGTGTCGGCTGCTGCCGCCTCCCTGGAAGGCTGGCACAGCTCTGGCAGCTTTCACCTGCCTTGCGCCTCTCCTCCTATCTATTTCACAGGCTCAGCAAATGAAAGCCAACGGTACTTCTAATCTCTCTTTACTCTTCTGCCAACTTGCTCAGGCTTCCCCACATGCCTCCTTAACTTTATGCAAATGTTTTTGCCTTCATCTGGGAATACTCTAATCCTTCTCTCCATTTTTACGTGTTAATGCTGTGATTTACAGCCATTTTATGAGTAAGAAAATCCTAAACCAGCAAACAAAGAGTACCTTCCTGCTCTATTTTCAGGAGTCCAAAGAGGGTAAGGCTCCAATTCTGTCTCTGAGGGCTGCAAACTTCATTTTTTAAGGTGTGTGTGTGTGTGTGTGTGTGTGTGTGTGTGTGTATTTCTTCCTTAAGTTCATGGAACATGTGTATCATGGGGGGAAAAAAACTATACATGGATTTTTTTAAAAAAATCCACCAAAGCCACGAAAGCAAAATTATCTTTTGATTCCATTTTCCATGAACATTTTGCCATACTCTGAGTAACAAGTGCAGTGTTCCCTGTGCATGCTAGATTTGAATAGAAAATACCAAGACAACTGGCACCTTGGAGGTGGTGGCAGTGGCAGTGGGGGTGGTGATGGAGGTGGTGACCTAAACATTCCAGTCAAGTTTAAGCTAAGACACAATGAGTTTCCAGCAAGCCTGGCATGGAGGGAGTCCCTCCTGAGGGTCTTTTAAGTAAGGCCTACAGGACAGTCTAGGGTCAACAACAGTACAGCAGCCCCAAGAAAGAGGTGCTTATGAACACGCACAGCAGCAGAAGAGCAAAGATCTCAGTGTTCATGGCCTGTCTCTCCAGGCAGCCACCTCACAAGTAATGCAGCACCTCTAAGAAGCCCTGGCCTGCAAGTACAGGGAGAAAGAGCCTGATCTACTAAATGACCCCATGGCTCACTTGCAGCCAGCACATCTTCCCTCCTGGGTCTCATTTTCCTATTCAAGATTAAAGAGTCAAATTTGTGAAGCTGAATTCTGCATCCTAACTTATCAAGACTCTTTCAACTAATTGATATATGCTTTAAATCCTCTAAAGAGGTTACTTCCAAAGCTGGGTATAAATAGACAAATGAATGTGAATTAGCTGGCATGCATATTCCTGGAGGAGTTCATCAGTTTAGAGGAACTCACTGCTTGCTGGCACACCACAGACTTTCTTATCTCCAAATATGTGGATAAGCTGCTCCTTATCTTGGGCTGCTCTTCCTTTCTCTGCTCAACTAGGAAAGCCCTGTCCACCTTTTAGACTACTGTTTAACGGCCCCTTCTTGACTGAAGTGTACTATAATGGCTCCAGGTAGACAGACTGGATCACTAGGTATGTACACCTGCCAACAGAATTGACCTCGTTATACTAAGATGGGTACTTTGAGTGTGTTCCCACAGCAGCCTTGGTTTCTTATTTCCATTTTCATCCTAGTGCCTGGCTTTATACCTGGTATACCAGCTGTGGTCAAACACATGACTGAATAAAGGGTCCCCTAGTCAGATGATTTCTAAAAGAACATAAACCTTTTCTCTGAATGATTGCTTATAATTGCTCTGTTAGTATTAGCCAAACTTAGAAATTTAAAATAGCCAAAATGCCTTGTACTAGGGTGAATGCTTGGACAAACTGTGGCTTGTACACACCATGAGATCCAACCCAGCAATAAGCATGCAACCTGGAAGAATGTCAAGGGCATGGTGCCAAGTGAAGAAAATCAGCCTCACAAGGGTTACAGGCAGTATGATTCCACGAGACACAGCCTCAAAATCACGACACTGTAGACATGAAGGACAGACTGCTGGTGGCTCCAGGTGATGGGGAGGAGGGTGGTGAGTGTAGCTGTAAGATGGTGGCATATGTGGTGATGGAACTGTTTCACATCCTGACTGCAGGGCTACACAAATATGCATGCTTCTATAGACCTGGTTTTGTTACCATATTGTCATTACAACAAAGGTAGGAAATGTCCCACCTTCAAGTCATATAAGGCCCTGGACATCATTTCGTCTGACCCTGCCAAAGCAACCATGAGTGGGATTTGAAATTCAGTAAGTGCACAGAAGAATTATTTTTAGATTGATCATTTTGCATGACCTGTGAATAACATTATAAGGATCCAAATGGCTTCTGACAGTAAAAAAAGGTTCCCTATTCCTGCATTGCAGAACACTGGGTTCATGGTGCCTGGCCCCCTCTGCATTAAATTTGGGACCTATAGTTATTTCAAAAATAACAAAAGGCATACATGCATTTTGTTTAAAGAGAGAGAGAGAGATGCTTTCTGAGGTTATTTTTGGCTCTCCAATTTTATGTGTCTGTATTGTAACAACCTTTTCTGTTTCTCGCTGCTTCACAATGCCAAAATATTTGCCCATAGTTTGAATTATAGCTTCTCACAATTGCTGTGTCTCCACACTAGAGCCATTCTTACTCCCATTTTACACACAGTGACAACAAACGCAGTGCTCAGTGGAACAGTACACAGTTGCTAAGTGACACTCAGGTCTGATTAGATAACATCTCTACTCAGCCCACTTTTCTCAACTGCAAAACAAAGGCATGAAGCAAAGAGGGCCTCTAGAGGTGCATCCTGTTGCAATGCTGTTGGACACACACACTTTTGACACCCTGGTTTTTCGTCTTTGGAATTAACACAAGAATCTAGCAAGGCAGAGACCTGACAAGATGATAGCCGAACTCCCACAGAGGCCCATCTGCCAGGCCGAGGAATGCAAGGAGGAGATGTCCCATATTCCCAGGACTGTGGAGACAAGAATCCCACTTGGTGCTTGGATCCTCACTCTTCCAGGGTGCCCTGTCTCTCTGGTCAGCTTCTGTTCCTCTGCTTCTATTTCCCATTCCTCATCTCCTTGGCTTCACCCCATCACAATCCACAGCCCCTAACCACTGACAACACTCGCCATGCCAAAAAAGGCCAGCTGTGAAAATGTCTTACCAGATTAGTGAAGATGTATGTGTAATAGGCTGACACCATGCCTAGTTCAGCTGCCTGCAGAGGAAAAGAGAAGGTGATTAGGGAAGAAAACAAAACCCATGAGAAATGAGTGAGCAGCAAGGGCTCTGAGCCTCTGCTGGCTGTCTGGCCCAATACCCTTAGCACCAGGCTGAGCAGAACATCTTGACTGGTTCTTCTGGCATCCTTGAACTTGGAGGATGCAGCACAGAAACAGCAGCCTCGACAGCAGGGTCCTTCCACCTGCAGCCCACCCTCAAGTCCTGCAATGACACTCAGAGTAACTGATGTCCCCTTCCACAACCCCCTCCCATGGACATAACTGCATAGGTACTACGGAAACCAAAAATGACTTTAAGGGAACTGAAGCAAATATTAAAGCAAACTATAGACATCAACTCCACAACAATCAGCAATAACAATGGCTAACATTGTTTATAACCCATTGTTTAGTAGTGCTTGGCACTAGAAAGCCATTCTACCTGAGTTAGCTCTATGGGGTAAACCTTATTTTTGCACCTTCACTTCTTCCTATTCTATGGTAGAGAAAACTGACACAACAAAAGGCTTAGGAACTTGTATGAGATCACAATTCTCACAGAAAGATGAAGCTAAAACAGGCAGCCTCACTTCAGTACTTTCAGCCAAACCCTACATCCCTGGAGGACCATAGTCTTGAACTAGACATACAGCTGTCTGAAGGGGGTGAGCTACAGATAAAAGGGAATCTGCAGGTTGTAGGCAATGCTCAGATGAACTCCACCCATCAGGAATGAAGGGAAGCTCTTCAGAGTGGTCTTGGACCTGCATTAATGTAGGAACAAGCAGATGGTTTGCTACCGTTGGCCCTTTAATTAGCAGCAAGGAACAAGCTGCCTGCTATGTGCTTCCTTCTTGATCAAGTGCAGTGGAACAGCTTCAGTCCACAGCTGAGAATTGCGACTTCACAATCACCTCCCTTTCGTCTGATCTGTGTACCCATCACAAGCACCCCTAGCCAACCTTCCCTGTCAGTGTGCCGGGCTTTGAGTACGACTGGTGTTATAGAAACTGACAAGTAGATCAGGTGAATAACGAGCCCCACTCTCTCCAGGGCCCTCCTCCCTCCTGACAGTTGGTTAGATTTTCCCAATGTATCCTGCAACCCTGGGACCATAGGAGACTGCTTGTGTCACAACTGTTGAGGTGGCTGGCAGAAGAACAAGCCTGGGATGGTTACATTTTCCTCTTACTCAGTGTTTATCTTCCAAGGAGCTCAATAGCTTTGCCAGCATTTTTACAGGAACTCTTGCAGGCTCTGAGATGTTATGGATGCATCACTGTGGGTTCAAAGGAGCTAAAATCTAAGCGCTCAGTGCCTGGGTCAAGATCATCACAATAGGGGGTAGACAGTGAAATGCAAGGCCCCCTCAGTGAGGTGCCCTCCTTCTTCCTAATGAAGTTACCTTCTTCCCACATTCCCAAAAGTCTGATGGGGCAGGATAGCCACTCTCTGTCCCACACACCATCCAGGGAAGACAGCAGCTATCTTTGCCTCCATCTGGACCTGTGTGAGCCCACTGCTCGCAGGGGATCAGCTGGGGCTAGGGAACTGGCAGGGGTAGTAGGATGGTTAAAGCCCATTTTGTGAAATCTGCTGTCCTAGAGATAAAAGACTAAGTGATCCTTGGTTTTTAAGACCCGAATTCTGGGTAAACATGGAGTTCTTTGCAGGAACAGCCGCTCAATAAAGCAGGGGATTACTCTGCAAATCCTCCTGAAATCAAGAGGCAGCCTAGTGCTGCCAGCCAGGCTGGGGGCTGGCTCTCCCGTGTGTGGCTCCCACAGGTCCTGTGTGCTGTTGGTCCACCCCACTTCCCACAGTGGGTTCACACTGGCAGAGGCCCCAGAAGGCTCTGCTGTACCTCCCCTGGGGAACTGGGGAAAAAACATGGAGTCTGCCCACCCCATCCCAGGGAGGCCTGAGGGCAGAGCCCAGACCCTAGGAGCTGCAGCTCAGGAAAGATGGCCTTGGGATACATGGTGGAACCGTTCACAATAATTATCACTGTAAGCTTAGTTTTCTTCCAAACCACAGTCACCAAAAAGCATTAAAAACCACAAGTACATGCAAAAAAAAAAAAAAAGAAAGAGAGAAAGAGAGAAAAACCACTCCCAAAGCAGTTTTGATGCTTTGATGAAAATACCCAGAACTGGCAAGGGTGCTGTCAGAGACCTCAGTGCAGCTGGTAGGAGTGTAAACTGTTACAGCCTTACTAAAAGGCAATCTGGCAGGCCAGACCAGAATCCTTGAAGGCAAATCATTCCACCAGCCTTAAAAGTATGCATACCTTTAACTCAGTAATTCGACTTCTAGAAATTTATGCGAAGGAAATATTCATGCATGTGCATAAAGATTGATGTACAAAGATATGCAACCCAGTATTATTTATTACAGCACAAGATTGGAAACAACCTGTTTCTCTACCAATAAAGGGATGGTTACATAAATTACAAGACACCCATATGATAGGAAATGATGTCGACATTAAAATATTTGTAGAGAAAATATTTAATGACATGGGGGAATGCATGGCATACAATTATGTGTGGGGAGAAAGCAGCTTAGGGAGAAGTGTGTGCAATGCAATAATAAATTTTGGGAAAATCATGCCAAAAGCAGAAAGAATAGACATCAAAATTTAAAAGTGGTTAATTCTGGATGCTAGGACTCTAAATGAGCTTTCTGTTCTACGTGCTTCCCAAAATTGTGACAATGAACTACTCATGTTATTTATTTTTATTCATTTGTTCGAGAGACAGAGAAAAACAAATGGTTCCATTCGCTATTTTACTCTTCAAATGTCTATATATTCCAGGGTTAAAATCAAAAGCTGGGAACTTGGGACAGGCCTCCCAAGTGGATGGGATGAACCCGAGCACTTGATGTTTCACTGCTGACTCCCAGGATCTGTATAAGCTGTGCTCAGGAGCCTGAGGCAGGAAGTGAACCCAGGCACTGATATCTGGGATGTAGGTGTTCTAACCACATCTTTCAGCAAGACAAACACCTGTCCCTAAGCTTGTCATATTATTGGGAGGGGACAGGGAAGATGGCACTCAGCTGCATCTTCCAGCAGAAACAGAATACTTCTAGGGAAGAGGCTGCTTGCCCCCGACCTCCAGCTCTCCTCTAGGGACTGCTTCCTTAGCACTAGCTTGCACAGGGGATCTGTGCATTCCTAAGTGCCTTCACAAGGGGACTGGAGGGACATCTGTTGATAGAGTCAGGCTCTCACTCCCTGATCCCCACATTTCCAAAGGAGGACCCAATCAGCCTGCCTTTCTCAGGCTCTGAAACTTAAAGGAGTTTTTGTCCTTATTGACTTCATTGATCATTCCTCCAAACAGAAGAAAAAGGAAAAGAAAAATTCTCTCTTCTCTCTCTCTCTCTCTGAGTGTGTGTGTGTGTGTGTGTGTGTGTGTGTGTGTGTGTGAGAGAGAGAGAGAGAGAGAGAATCTACACAGACAGATGTGGCTTTGGAGCTGTGCAAAGTTACTATAGCAACAGGCTGAAGGGACAGCCCCAGGTACTGAAAGACTCATTCAAATCTCTTATTAACTTTGAGACAAAAACTGGCTGGGGAAAGGTGCGGAGGAGGACAGAAGGAGGGAGGAACCATCATCCTGCGAGTGCCTGCCATGATCCCTGCAGCTAGGCAGAGGTTAACAAGCTACCCTGCACCCCCAGTGGAAGGTGGCAAGTTGTGCTTAAATGAGCAATTAAAATGGCATGAGAAGGGGCCAGTGTGCCCAGAGGAGTCCAGGCAGCTGCCGAGAAGGAGCCGCGAGGAGCTGAGACAAAAGCCATGGGCCTGGCCCAGCCACCAGCCCAGGACCAAGTCTAAGCAACTTCAACGCTGTGCAGCTATCTATGGCTCTTTGTTCAGTATAGTCTTCCAGGTGCTGGCCTTGTCCAGACTCGGTTTCACTCCTGCAGTTGCCGTATGTAGGTGCATTTTTGGATTACAGGGCCAGGTCTTAGACAAGTCAGCTCATCACCCAGAATCTCCACGTCTTCATCTGTAGGGTAAAGACACTGACCCTCACATCACACCATCCTAGGGAGAACACATGCTTGGAATTTTCCCAGGGAGCACTGTCAGGTGCTCTACCTGGTATCAAGATGGAGTCAGTAGCGTACAGCCATGTAACGACTCTGCTTGTAAAATATGGGGTTAGATGCAGATTGCTTGGCAAGTGGCTCTGCCCCAGCCCCTGCACAATTTCCCCCCACCCTGGAACCCTCCTCTGTGCCCTGCCTGGCCTACCATGGTGTACCAAGAGCCAAATAACAGCACCCCCACCCCATCGTGATTCCTCCTTTCAGCCATTGGGCACAGTCCATGAGGACAGAAGCACAGGGAAGAGTTTGCAGTTCAGGTTCAGGTCTGGCCTAGAACTCCAAAAGCCCAGGTTGAGGAGGACTCCATGCAGGGCAAGGAGGGAGAAGGAAAAGGAGGAAGGATGCTCTGTGTCCCACAGCGTGCGCCCTGGCCCGGCTCCCACCTTCAGGAGGATGGTGTGGGACATGGAGGCATTGGCGTGGATGATGATGGTGGCGGTCTTGTCATCCCGGATCTCCTTGAGGAGTGGGGTGGGGTCCCGGGTGTCATCCAGCATCCGGACGGACAGTGTGTCCTTGGAGATAAGGAATTGCCGTAGCAGCTTCTCTAGGTTTAAAAGGCCTGGAGGGGAGAGAGGAGGAAGCCCTAAGGGTCTGCAGACCTGCCCCCCAAATCCCAGAGAAACGTGGGCAAGATAGGACCAGCATGTCTCCTTGGCAGGTAGTGCACGTCACAACATAACCTCAACAGGTTTCTCTACCTCTCTGAGCTTTAATGATTCCAGGGAAAACAAAAAGAATGTCCCTTAGCTCACCTCCCTGCCACTGCCTTGGGGAGTGCAATGGATGGCCTCCTGGACTGGCCCCAGTGCCAAGAGAAACTCCATTGGGTGGGGAAGAGTAATGTCCCAGAGCAGAAGTCACCAGGTCTCTAGAGCTCTTTCCCAGATACCAGGACCTTTCCACATGGTCTCAGCCTGGGAAGTGCAAGGCCAACTGCAGGGGCATGACAAGGAGTCCAGGAGTCAGCAGGAAAAGTGCCCAGAACACTTGCACCCCTGTGCCCTGCAGCTTGGCCTTGCCCTTGTTTTCATTCTGGGGGTGGTGTGGCAATCCTCTCAGAATTTCATGACCCAGACAAACAGGTCTAGGAAAACACTTTGAGCTCCTCGGAGCCACGTGGCTGCATTAAGGCAAAGTATAATAATAATCATAACAGAGTAGACTTTGAACTACACTCCAACATGCAAGGATCCATGCACAAAACAGAACAGAAAAATAGGACTGAGCATGAAGCATTATCCCCTCCTTGACACCACAGCTGAGACCAGAGGTCTGGACCCAGCAGGTCTGCAGGAGAGGGGACAAGTGTGTGGCAGGAGGGGTCCTTGTTTGGCAAAACAGCACACTCTGTTTGAGTGGAAAGAGAACCCATAGCCTTTTGCTCCCCAAAGCAGCAACATGAGGAACATTTACGGAACCCTTATGTGTTCCAGTTAATGTGCTCAAACATTTTTACAAGGCTTATCTCATTGAAGTCCTCACAAGGATCCTATAAATGCTTGTAATCCCCAGTTTACGGAGAATGAGAGGCAAGGAGGATGAGCAGCTCTTAACATATGTGCAATTGGCATGGGAAGGGCTAGTTTTCCACCCAGATCAAGTACTCCATGTGGCTGGTTTCTGGTTGATGAAACCTTAAGTCTGGGTATACCTCCAATACTACCTCAGGGGCCTCTTCCCTGCACACGTTACCCACAGTCCTCACACTCAGGGATCAGAAGGTGACCCACAGCTGTGGGTCTGTCTCCTTCCCACCCTCATTCCATGAGACCCAGGCTTCCCCATGGAACAAACCTCAGCAGGAGTGGTAGACCCAGTGCTCAGGCAGAACCAGCAAGAACCTGAAGCCAATGTTTGTTGTGTTATTCTGTTTTGTTCTGTTTTAATGCAGGAGACAAATGGAGCAGGGTCAAGAGCCTGGCATAGTAAAAATAGAAGCTCTGGGAAGGAGCTGGAGGCTGTGGCAAAGACAAAAGCCCCAGCGGGCCTACTGTTTGCAGCCCTGCTACATAAGTTACAATTTGGAGTTGGTCTTGACAGATGCTGGGAAAGAGCTACTTGCACCTGTGCCCCTGCAACCCTTCAACTTTCGGTCCATCCTGACCCAAGTGATCTGGATTCCAGCTCTGGGTCAGCTCCTTCAGCGCTCCACTCTTTCTCTGTGACATAGGTTAAAGAGATGAGAAAGCATGCTGGGAAGTGGGATGAACAGTCCGCCATGTCACTGCTCTTGTGGATACTTAGCCCCTCCGAGTTCAAAGGGCAGGTGCAGTCAGGCAGCTCTTCCCTCACAGAGTGAAAAGCCGGGGAAGCTCATGACTGCTCAACCAACACTCATGATGTGCTCTGAGTGCCAGGCACCACATGGCAAGACACCAGGCAAGGAAGATAGACAGTTCATGGAACTTGCATCTACTTCTACAATTCCGGTCACTTCTGGTTGCCTGGACTTGTTTGGTTTTTCAGAGGGTGGGCCGATTTTATCATATCTATAACATGAAGAAAATATTCTCTGTAACTTCTTCAGACATACTCTGGAAAGTAAAGACTCACTTGGACAAAGGCGTGACCACTCAACCCTGGAAAGTAACAGGGAGTCTGGGACAGGTCACAGAGCTGGCACTCCTAGGAAGACTGTGGGTGTGGGAGCACACTGTTGGAGTGGCAACAGGGGATGGACAGTGGAAGTGAAACCCCCAGGTCCTGGTGTGTGGTGTGGAAAAGCTTTAGAGCCAGGCTGGGAAGGAGGCCGAATCCTCTGGGATTCTTCACATGGGCAATGAAATTCAGTGGGATGAGACAGGAAGCCCAGGGGAAGACAGCAGGATTATGCACAGCACAGTGACGCCTGACAAAGGCAGCCCAGGAGTCCCTCATCCCATTAAAACTGGCAGGTGCACTGAGCTCCCTGGGAAAGATAGCCACCAGGTGTCAGGTAAACTGGTCACCCTGTTCCCATCAGTCCCCAATCCAGTGCTGCTACCTTTTTAGCAAGGAGCACAATGGCTCCCCTATCCAACCAAGACTCTGTGTGTGCTAAAAGGCAGAGCAGGAGAGGGGACAAGACAGTCTCCAAGGAGGTCTTCATCTCACCCTTTAGTTACGTCCTTCATTTTCCTAACCAATGAGACACTTGATATACACAAAGAATGCAAAGGCAGCTTGTGAATGCCAGCACTTGACCGTTGATTTAGTTCTTAGTGTGGCCACACTCCACCCCACTATACCTCCTTGTTCCCACCTGTGAAATCTAAAGACTTACAGGTCCTTAAAAGGATGTTAGGCATGTTGATGGGGTCATCTACAAGGAGCTGGACAAACCTTTTGTCCATCAAGAAGTCTTTCACTCCATCGCCTCCCAGGAACTCTTTCTCTATCCTCCTGACCTCCCCATCTCTGACTTCACTCAAATCATAAGGGATTTGCTACCAGACTCCCTCCTATCAAAGTGAGTCCTAAAACCATGTATAGTATCTGATAGCTTACAGATGCTCCTTGATTTATAACGGTGTCACAGCCCCATAAACCCAACAAAAGCTGAAAATACTAGGATGATAATGTACTGGCTACAGTTTCTACTGAATGTATACAGTTTTTGTACACCATCATGAAGGGGACCATTGTAATACTCATTTCTATCCAGAGGTGGCCTGTAAATCTGTGTCTGTGTGTGTATGCAATGGGACATGAGAAAGAACTTCAAAACTTTGATAGAAATGGAATTAAAAGTTGCCATGTTCCTGGATCATCAGGATCAACATTATCAAAATGTTCATATTACCAAAAGTAATACACAGATTCAACGTGATCCCAATTAAAATCCCATCAATATTTTTCTCAGAAATAGAAAATATATACAAAAGCTCATCTGGAAACACAAGAGGCTAATGAATAGCCAAAGCTATCCTGAAGAATAAAAAATCAAGTTGGAGGAATCACATTTTAGATCTCAAGACATACTTTAGGGCAGTGGTCATCAAAACAGTCTGGTATTGGTACAGAAACAGAGAAGAAATAAAAACAAAATAGAAACCCCAGAAGGGAGCCCACATATGTATAGCCAACTGCTCTTTGATAAGAGGACTGAAAATAATCCAGGGGAAAAGCCTGGTCTGGTCTCTTCCACAAATACTGTTGGGACAATTAGATAGCAGCCTGCAGAGGTAAGAAGCAAGACCCCCCACTTTTCACCTTACACAAAAATCAACACCAAATGGATCAAGGACCTAAATCTGCACCCAGAAACCATCAAACTATTAGAGGAAAACATAGGAAGCACTCTCCAAGATACAGGAATTAGAAAAGACTTCTTAGAAAAGACATGAAAAGCACACAGTCAAAACCAAAATAAACAAATAGAGCTACATCAAGCTCAGAAGCTTCTGTACAGCAAAGGAAATGGTCAACAAAGTGAAGAAGTGACCAACAGAATGAGAGAAATTCTCTGCACACTACACAACCAATAGGTAATTAATACCCAGGATTTACAAAGAGATTCAGAAACTCAATGACAATAAAATAGACAACCTTGTGAAGAAATAAGTGAAAGAAATGAACAGATATTTTTCAAAAGAACAAATTCAAACAGCTAATAGACATAGCAAAAATGCTCAGGCTCCCTAGTTGTCAGGGAAATACAAATGAAAACTACACTGAGGTTCTACTTAACTCCAGTGAGGTTGGCCTACATTCAGAACTCTACTAACAATACATGCTGGCACGGATGTGAGGAGAAAAGTACCCTTATTCACTGTTGGTGGGAGTGTACGCTAATACAACCATTACAGAAATCAGTATGGAGAGTGATAAGAGAACTGAAAATTGATCTGCTTTATGACCTAGCTATCCCACCTCTGAGAACATATCCAAAAGAAATAAAATCTGCATATGAGAAAGAGATCTGTAATCCTACATTTACAGGAACACAATCTACAACAGGAGACAAGGAAACAACCCAGATGCTGGTCAAAAGCAGAGTAGATAAGGAAACTCTGGTGCATCTACTCCATAGAATACTACTCAGTCATTAAAAAGAATTAAATTCTAGCATTTAAAACCAAATGGTCCCAACTTGAGACCATATACTCAGTGAAATAAGTCAATACCAAAAGGACAAATATCATACATCCTCTCTGATATAAGGTAACCTTCATGCAAAATATGAGATCAATAATCCTTTCCATACTGTTTGTGCTGCATCTCAGGGGTTTGAATTTTTGTTTTTATTTTCATTCATTCAAAAAGGTTTTTATCTTATTAATTTCCTCATTGATTCATAGGACACACAATAGCATCGATTCCTTCAAGAAGGTTTTTTATTTTCATTTCTTCAGTGGCACATTGGTCATTCAGTAGCATGTTATTTAACCTCATGTTGTTAATTTTCAGTTCTTTCTTCCTGTTGCTGATTTTGTTTTTTGGCTTTTCATTTAAGGAGATTCAAACTATGTAATAGAGTATCACATCCAGATTTGAAGATACAATGCAATATGCATCTCTACTTTCATTTTAAAATGAAAGATGGACTCTCTGCCATTGTCCACACCTACAATGTCAGGA